GTTCTCTTGCCCATGAATATGAGTCTGCAGTGTTCTCCCAGTGCAAGAGGAGAATTTTAAGTTGTTGAATTCTGCAGAATGTAACCACTTCCAACCTCATTGTGACACATCTCTGTGACACAGTGTTATAGAATTAGATATCATGTTTTCCCTTCTTTCCAGAAAAGAGTACATTCTTCTTTTTCTTTTTGCCTGTTGTTGACAGGTATCTCTTGAACATACTGAATTTTTACTTGGTATTTCAAAAGTTCAAGTAATTTGCCTGGTTTAACCTGCTTAGAATTTAAATCCAGGAGATTAGGAAGAATTTAGCTGCAGAAGTGTTCAGTGCCTAGGTGCCTTGCCTGTGTTGCAGAACCCACAGTTCTAATTTAGGCATTTAGACTTCTTGAATAAGTGATGAGATGAGTTATGTATCTGATTACAGTAGTTACAAAGCCAGTATCTGCTGTATGAGGAGTCTAAATCAGGCAACCAAAATCAAATGGACAAATGCATGTTGGAATCCTAAACACTGTAGCTTGGTAGGTCAAGCTCAGTCTTGCAAAGATGAGTGTGGAAATACTTTCTTTAAAAAGGGTGTCACAATTTAATCCTTTCTTTCAAAATGATGGTAGTAGCAGTGCCTGCCTCCCTTTGATCTGAATGTGGGGTTAGAATACAGGTCTTGGCTGTAGAGCATCAATTAAATTTCTTTTTCTGACTGAGAATGTTAAAATGCACATCCCCCACTTCCTTTGCAGTGGTAAGATGACAAACGTTGAAGTTAATTGGAAGTATTGCTATTCAGGTCTTTCTGTGTTCTACCAATTAGAATAAGAAGCTGTGCTCCCTGTAGTATTTTCTGTCAGGCCTACTGAATCTTTAAATATTTAATGCAAAATGGAAAAGCTTCAGCAGAGAGAGATGAAAGAGCTGCCTGCAGCCAGGTTCCCAGACTCACCAGCACAGCAGTGGGTATGTTGTTATCGTGAGACTGCAACAACAGGTCTGCTCTGTGAACCAGACAGAAGGAACTTCTCCATCACCAGTTGTGGTCATACTGTGGGCTGGAAGCTCAGGGACACAGCCTGCCAGGGTGTGGGAAATGTGAATTTGAGCCCTGGTGGATGGAGGTGAAGGTTAAATCATGTGCTGCCATTTACAGATGTAAATTTTGGGCTTCTGGATGAAAGTCAAGCTCTGCCCCTGTGTGGAGCAGTTACCAAGCTTTATGTTGCCCCATGGCTGCAGTGCAGGCAGGTGTACCAGCAGTTATACACCATGCCCTTTTAGGATTTATGTTTGAGGGGAGCCTGAAGGTGCTTAGCTCTGTCAAGAGAAAAGTGTGGTGGAAATAACCAGCAAAACTAGAGAACTGTGCTTACAAAAGCATCTTTCTGATTTGCAGGTGTAGTTAAAATTTGTAGTGAGCCTTAAAGATCAGTTTTTGTTGCTTGAAAAAACGCAGGGAATCCTTAAGACCTGAAATAAGAGCAATAAGCTTCAAGCAAAGTGCAGGTTCATTGTAATTGCTCTGACCTTAATTATGTTACCTATATTAAACTGTTTAAGGAAAGCATGATTGGCACTCAGTAGAGTATGGTGTAACAAGGCTCAGTGGTATTGAAGGTATTTTTACATGTTTATTTCTAGATAAGACTATTTCAACAGTATTTTTCAAGTTTGCTTGAGGTCTCTAGTCAGGTCTTAAACATGGGATTAAGCATCAGTGGCTAGTGTTGCATGAACATGGAAAGTACTTTGCCTTTCTGGAATAGTCAGTGATTTAAAAGTGAAGCCTGAGACATGGATGAAAAGCTAGTAAGACTTGCCTGCTCCTTCAGGGGGGAAGAATGTTTTCTTGGAACCATACAGAAGATGGGGAACTTTAACTGAAAAAGTTAAAATGTAAATAAAAGTTAAAATAACTAATGAGGGATATTGTTCTGTTAGTCTGAGAATCATAAAAAAACCTTTGGAAAGCAGAGAAAAGAGCCCGTTTTGCATGTATTTTGCAGGCTGGAAAAGAGTGGGTGCCAAAAGCATAGAATAATGTTCTGTGGTGTATTTTCCAGTTACCTTTCACATAAAGAAGTTTGTTCTCAACCCAGCAGCAATGTAGAGAACAGTGATAGTTATTCATAAGCTCAGTGCTAACCCTTCCTGTCACCCCACCTCGTCGTTTCTCCCGTCAAACTGAATTCAGGCAGCTGCTGACCATTTGTGTTGGGTGTTCCGAGCTCCCTTGTCCATAACAGGCTGATAGAGACCAGTAAACCCTCTTTGCCACTGGTATTAATTTTTTCCCACATCATGTATTTGAATCATATAATAGACTTTGGTTCATTGTCACAAAAGTTGCACGGAGGTTTTTCCAGCTTTGGGGGAAATAATTTCCATGGGTCTGAGACACAGTTTTTGCCTGTGTAATCTGAAATGACATTTCACAGCAGATCAGATGGTAAAAAGACCAGAATATTGGTTGTGGTGATTTAGTCCATTGATGTTTATAAATAACCCAAGTTTGATTCTGAGACAACGTTGAGTAGAGGAAGTCATTTCAGTTGGTAGCTGATGTGGTTGTTCAGAAGAAGCTCTTTTCTCGCCCGGGAGAAAGGAAATGCTGAAGTGGCACTATGTGGAGAGGCAGGTGGAAGCTTGTGGGAATTTGTTTGTTAGCTGGAGGAACAACACACAGCTGGGCTGGGAATAAGTAGGGATTCTCAAATACAAATGGAATTAACTCGTGTGGAATTGTAACGGTCTATCTAGTGAGGTTAGTGTTGAACAAAATTTGAGGACATTGACTCCTGCTGACTTAATTGGTGTTGTATAGGCACAGAGGAGGCAAACCTTTTAATGAGTGCAGTAGGCTCTCTCTTAGAGCTGAGTTAACATGCATTAATTGAACAGATGCAGTAGTTTTGATTGCCTGCCTGCACCCTGCCATGTTTGTGGTTGTGCCTCAGTTCTAAGGCTTGGAGGTTGTTCTGGCACTCTCACTCTGACTGTGGTTTGGAGAAATGGCAATAGCTGCAAGTTGGCATATTTAATAAAGGAAAAAGTGATTTCTAAACCCGTTTTTGAAATCTGTATCAATTCCCTTCAGATATTTTTTCTTCTCTTACTGGTAAGTAAATCTGAGCATCCACCAATATATAAACACAATGTACCTTGTGGAACAGAGTAATTACTTACTCCTTCACCTGATATGCCTATGCTGTATTGTCACACAGATTCTACAACCTCAAGTGTAGTTTTAGATTGGCCAAATTTGTAACTGAGTATTGTTTTATTGAAAGAGAAGAAAAGACAATTACAGCATCTTAAGCCAACCACAGAGCTGTGCATTTAAGCTGATTCCAGTTTTTGCAGATAATGTAAAGGATGGTTCCGTATTTCTTCTCCCCCGGGTCTTCAGCTACACCTTCCCCCATGCCCTTCTTTTGCAGATAATGTAAAGGATGGTTCCATATTTCTTCTCCCCCAGGTCTTCAGCTACACCTTCCCCCCTGCCCTTTGCCCCAGGAGCAGCATTGATGCAGTTATACTAGCAGCTGCTTTGGAGATCTGGCTACAAAGACATTTTGTTTGGTTTTGTTGGGGCTGATTTTCAGCTAGGTGAAGTTTTGATCCAGCTGTCAGTGCCAGCCACCTAAGAAAGGACTGTTCCTTTTAGTGGCAGCGTGGACTTAGGTGAGCTGAATGTGCCACAGCACTTTTGCTTTTGAAAGGCTCTTCTTAGGCCAGAAGACCAAAGGAGGGAAGTACTTGGTCTCAGGTATTGACTTCTGTAAAGAAATGGGATTGGCCTGCCTTTATGCACCATTCTGTGCAACCAAACTGACCTTTTGGGTTTCTCATACAGGTCAGAGGTAGTAACTGTGTTACAAGTACTGTTTGCTGCCTTTGGTGGAGTCCCAGAGTGGTTGAGGTTAGAAGGAGCCTCTGAAGGTCAGGTGCTCCATCCCCTCTGCTCAAGCAGGGCCCCAGAGCCTGTTGCCCAGGGCCATGCCCAGGCAGGTTTTTAGCATCTCCAAGGGGTTGTACAGAAGGATTGTGACAAATATCTTCTTGAAGTAATGCTTAAACCCAAATCTGTTTGCAGCTCTTTCATGAATATTTGTGTGAAATGAAGTACTTGGATTTATAATAAAACATACTAATTTAGCACCAACTTTACATTATAGACCTCAACAGTCTGCACCTCCATCAAGCTGGATCATAGCCTGTAATTGATACTAACTACTACTTTAGCCTGGAGAACACTAGAAGTGGCTTTATTGTTTAGCCTGGAGAACACTAGAAGTGGCTGTAGTACAGACACTGATTTTTGTAATATAAAGGTAGACCCCAGGGATCAGTGCTTCTGACTTTTTCTCATTCGGACTAAATTGTACACGTCAGCCTGACTTAAGGGAGTGGAGATACATCACTTGGTGCACAGCTCATACCTGGTGATCAAATCTTTGTTCAGTGTGTTCACATTTCTCTGTTACTGTCTTAATACTTCTGTCTTGCAGAGAAGAAAAAACATGTTTATCTAAATATAAAATGAGGACATTTTTTCTAGATAAACTGTGATTCTCCTGTATTGTCCCATTATATTAACCCACTGTATTCACAGTCATTGAGGCAGAATTTATTGTCTTGCACAGTCACAGATTACTGCTGATCATTTGATCGACTTAACGTTCCTCTTTGTGAGGTGTTGATTTCTGTTCTGTACTAAAATCCTCACGCAGTAAATTGTATGATATGACCCTTCTCCCCAACCAGCATATATCCAGTTTCTAAGTGTTAAGCAATGTCTACCAGGCATAGAAGGAGGGACTTGGAATTTCTGTAGTACAGCCCAGTTCCACCTCCATTCTGCTTTAAAAAGCCAGTGTTGGTCTGTTGGTGTTGTGGTGTCCTTGTGGTTTGTAGTTGAAGGGGACTGCTGTGGCTCGTACTGTTCTCTTTATTCCCCCAGTGGAGGGAATCCTCTGATGTTATGTACTTATTTGTTCTTCCAGCATATGCAGATGACTATCCAGGCTCTGCAGGATGAGCTTCGGATCCAGCGGGACCTGAACCAGCTGTTCCAGCAGGACAGCAGCAGTAGAACCAGTGAGCCCCTCGTGGCAGAGCTGACAGAGGAAAACTTCCAACGCCTTCATGCAGAGCACGAGCGCCAGGCCAAGGAGCTCTTCCTGCTCCGGAAAACCTTGGAAGAGATGGAGCTGCGTATTGAGACGCAGAAACAGACCTTAAATGCACGTGATGAGTCCATCAAAAAGCTGCTGGAGATGCTGCAGAGCAAAGGTCTGTCAGCAAAAGCCACCGAGGAAGACCATGAGCGAACAAGGCGACTGGCCGAGGCGGAGATGCACGTGCACCACCTGGAAAGCCTTCTTGAACAGAAGGAGAAAGAAAACAACATGCTGAGAGAGGTAGGTGACCAAGCTGAGGGCTCATCTCCCATCCGAAACTCCTCTCTGTCTCCTATGCATTTTAAAGCTGTAAGGAAGGAATCTTCCATCCTCTCTCCAAGCTGTATTTTACATGACAGACTTGACAGAATTTCTGCCTATTTCAGAACTTCTTTATGACTTCCTTGCATGTGCCTTTTGGTGTTTTGTGCTTTAGGGCCCACTTTCCTCATAGTGGGGAAGGAAGCTCTGGAGGTGAGTTGTCACACAGCCTGTAAAATGAGTTCTCTTCTGTTCTAGTTTGAGAGAAAGTAGCTACCTGTATTTAGGTGAGAGCTGCAAGAAATCTGTGCAAGAGCAATGGATGATTGCTCTGCAGTTTCCATGGAAACAGTCGTCTTGCTGTGAAGGGTATTTGATAAAACTATTAGCTGCCCTGGATGCACAGGCAAAAAAAAGATTACTTAAAGGGACACTGCTGCACACATAATAACCTTTCTCACCATCCCTCTGAAAATATAATGGAAAAGTCATTGTTATATCTGTAGTGCACCTGACAGGAGCACAATGGCAGGTGTTCTGCACTGTTAATAGTCCTAAAGTCATTATAACAAAATATGGGCTAGATCTAATACGAACATCTTAGAAAATAAATGAGTTGTTGTGTAGCCAGGGTTGATATTATTAAAGGCATTTTCCTCTTGTCAGCCAGCTCCTGGAGTATTCTGATATCACCTGTAAAGGCTGGTGACTCAGCATGTGTTGTGTGGGTGCACAGGGAAGTACATGTGTATGTGTATTCACTAATGATAAGATTTTATGTAAAGATTATTTTACATACATCTGTAGATTGAGGGCATGCATTAATAGCTGTACAGTGTGAATCTAATGACATGTTTTGTGCATTGTGCATCTGCTTTGTGGTTCAGCATTTTTTTGAAAGCTCTACACATGCACAGGAGTTCTACCCCCTCTCTAAGGAGCCAGGAAAGCAAGGTCTGGCACTGAGCGTTTGGAGGGGAGTGTATGCAGCAAATTAATACTTCTTAATACCTCTTATTCATATGTTTTCCATGGCCTGACCCATTATACTTGTGCTCTTGCAAGCATATATATAAGAAAGCTGGAGCCCGTTGCACTTCTGAGCCAGATTTAGGCCAGATTTATTTTTTTCAGAGCAGTAATCTCTTGAGTGTCTGGAGTGAAGATAATATGATTCCAGAGTTTCTACACTACAGATTTTCCTTTATTTAGCAACCAATGATAATTCTGTTCCAATTCTTGTAACTATTTCAGGAAGAGCCTCAAATGGTTTCCATTTGTTTCTGCTCGAAGTCCAGCAACATCAATGAAGAGCTGGCAGGAGCTGTGTGAGTTTTTAGGAATGTGATTATGTTTGTTCCTGCTGCTGATGAGTAGACGTTGAGAGATTAGAATTCTTGTTTCATTCATGCATATTTGGAAATCATCAGTCATTTAAATCCTAATCTTGATGGTGAGAGTTTTCCTAGGGAAGGTAGAGATGATTTAGTGACTTTGAAAACGCAAACGCTGTTTAGCAAGTGTTTAAAATTAATTACTCCTTGCTACTCCCCCAGCTCTAATTCACTGAGGAGGGTAAGCTGCATACAGTGTCATTTGTAGCTCAAGCTGTTGCTGTGGTGTGGGATCCAGCCCTGGAGCTGAGCCCCCTCGGAGCCTTGGAGGCACAGTGCTGTGTGCAGGGATCACCTCCTTACGCTCTGTGGGACCAAAGGAGAGGTCTTGTCCTGTGACCCATGTGTCGACCTTGAGCTCTGACCTCAGACTTACCTGCATGAAACTCAGGTCTTAGGCTGGAGAAAATCAGAGGCAATGGCTGAGGTGTGTCTGACTGCATCTGACTGCCTGAGCACCAAGCTGCTCTGCTCTGCAGAATCTGCTGCACAGTTGCTATTGCTGTTCCAGCCTTGGAGGTTGTCTTTGTGCAGAGCCTCTTAGGTGTGTCTGCATCACCCTCCTCAGCTAATCTGCTCTTATCTGTTAGGTGCCTTTCCATACTCCTCAGCTAATCTGCTCTTATCTGTTTAGGTGCATTTCCATGGTTTTAGGTTATTATAGCTCTTTGCTACCCCTGTGCCTAACTGTGGAACTTCTGACCTGCCTTGGTGGTTCTATATCTAGCATTCCCAGTATCTGGAAAAGCATGCTAAACTCTTCTTTAAATACTGCTGTTAAAGGAAGCATTAGTATCTCAAAAGGATTAACAAATGCTTGGGAGGTCAGTGTTTATATGGTTCCTGTTTTAACACGAGACAATCTTTAATAGTGGTCTTGACCATCTTAGCAAAAGCAAGTTCAGAGGTATCAGAATCCACTAGTGCTTTTTCTGACTGTAGAAGTCTGTTAAATTTCTGGTAAAATATTTGCTGGGAATAATACTAAAGATCTGCATCCTAAAGCAAAAAGGTATCCCTCAATTTTTAAGCTCTGAAGCCTACATGTAATTCAAAATGTAGTGTGAATACTCAGGGTCATAAGATGCTTTCTCAGCAGACAGTGCAGTTACATTGGCTGGCCTTGAAAATTAACTGTGAATTAATTGATTTCTTCAGCTTTCACTATTACTGTTATTGTACTAAAGATGGCACTAATTTCCTAAGGAAAACAAACTTAGGCCAGAGATGTGGTTCTGTTAAGGTTATAGTATGCTATACTTGGCTATGTCCAAGGAATAGCTGTATATAGCTTCTAACCAAGGACTAATAATAGCTTAGAACCAGGGAATAGCTGTACTGGTTCAAGCCAACAGTCCCTGTGGTCCAGCATTTCTGTATCCCATAATGACAACATGCAGACACACAGGACAGGGTTAGGTCAAGGCCAACATGACACTTCTCTGTATGGCTGTCCCATCTTCACAGAAAGGAGAGTTTTCTTGCACTTTTTGTGACTTGTCAGTTTTGCATCCTCCATGGATCTGACATCTGAGTACACACTCAGTGTCTTCCCAGGCCCCTGTAGGATCTGACATCTGAGTACACACTCAGTATCTTCCCAGGCCCATGTTGCTTTTGCAGCTGTAGCATTGGTTGGTGGGTGATTCTTCAGCCATCCTCTCTGTTGCAGGAACATGTCACATTTCTTTTGAGTTTCAGCCTGTCTCCTAGTAGCTTCGTTGACAGCCTCTTGGTCTTGCACTGGAGGACACTGTACAGGTGATCACTAACAAAACTGTGCCACTCACAATTTTAGATTGTCATATCCATTCCAAGTTCTCTTTTTTTCCAGGCTGAAAAGTCCAGTGCTACTTAATTGTTCGTCAAGTAAAAGATACTGCATATTTTTGATCATTTGCCAGAGCACTGTCTCAGTCTCCTATATCCAGATCATGAAAATGCTTCTTCTGCAGTTAGTGAGAGGTATCTCCATAAGCAATTTGACTCTTTTTGGGTTTTCCTAGAGGTCCTGAATTCTGGGAATCTCAGAAAACTCTTTGCAGGATTCCCTGTATCTAATGTAGGGTGCCTCTGGCAGCTCGCTGATGCTTTATCACAAAATAATGAAAAATCAATGTCTCATTGAGCATCAGAACACAGATATGGATGCCCTGACTTCAGCAGATAAGTGTGTATCACATTCTTCTACTATAGAAAACAAGCTAAAAGTTCATAGCTTCGAAAAAGATGGCTGATATTTTGAATAGCTCTTCTTTGGGCTCAGTGCACATTACAGTGCTGTGGAACAGGGAAAGGGCCAACAGCAGCTTTACACTTCGTGTCAAAAAGCTGTGTTTGTAGGAAATTACAATTTCGGCTTCTTTATGCATTTTTTCAAAAATAATTCACCCATTCAAACAAGGTGGATTTTTGCAACAGCTGAGTGCAAAACTGAATGAAGGAATTTGGGATGTAGTGCTTAACAAGCAAAGGGTGTGTGTATGTAAAGCAGGCCCTGAAATGGGTTGTTCTCAAGGACACTCATTCACAATAGGCTTAAGGAAAGAGGCTGTGGCAGAAAAAGCTATTCTTTCTTTCCTTCTTCAGTGTTTGTTGGAATGGCAACCCCACAAAGTGCTGTTTGTGAACTGCATTGCAGTTATCTGGCGTGGCCTTATCGCAGGAGCCGATCCCTTTTGTGGCTGTTCTCAATACAACAGTGCCCACTTTATTCGAGGAAGCAGCGCTGAGTTTGTGTGAGTGCTCTGTGTTCAGCCTGCCCTGGGCTGTGTCTGTCAGGGCACACCAGTCTGTGATGTCCATGGGTTTAGGTTACCAAACCTGGGCACTGTGGTGGCTCAAGAGCAGCAGCAGCAAAGGGCTCGGTGAGAGCAGTGGATGTGCCACCCTGGCATCCCCTCGCAGCTCTCCTGAGCTGTGCCCAGCCAGGAGAAAGGTTGTTTCCCTTGTCTGCCCAGATCTTAATCAACTTTGACAAGTTTTGCAAACAAGTTATTTTTCCATGGGTGTGTTAAAATTCTTACCCTTTTCTGCTCCAAGCTCAGAGGAGGATTCAGCAATTTTAGTTGGAACAATTGGAGTTATCTCAGAGAACCTGGGCCAGATTTTGCAACAGAAATAAGTTACTTGGAGAGAGAAGTTTTGTTTGCAGAAGTAGATATACTCAGTAACTGGAACTTCTACTACCATCACAGTAGGGGACATCTTTCTGCTGAGTTTAAAAAGTTTCTGCTTTTTAAGTGACTGCTTCACCTTTTTGACCCTTTAGAAGAGGATACCAGAGCAAAGTGATTTGAATTGAGAGAACTTAAATAGTCAGGTCATTACTAGAGTTGCTTGGCTGGTCTGCAAGTAGTTCTAAAACATACAGAGCTTTCGTAGGCCAAATTATTTATGGTGTATTAAAACCATTTTATCACAGCTGTTCTTTACATATTCAGTGTTCTCAGTCTGTTTGATCAGCTGTTCTTTGTAATTATGCTGACCAGAAAATGACAGTGTTGTTTCTCTCAGGGGTACTGTGCTACATTGCAGTCCTACTTGGCAGATGTAGGAATGATACACACCTTTAGTTTATGTATTTTTCTGTGGTAGATTTTCTTGAAAATGAAGACAACTGTTCTTAATTAAAAATTGACAGTGATGAAATCTGAGCCCCAACTCTGGTTAAGGTGGCCACACTGTTTAGAACTTCTTTCTAGCCTTCAGGTTTTAGTTCTTGAATCTTAATGGTTTTTGGACAGAATAACCCATTTTGAATTTTTGTTGCCTGTGAATGTACTTTAAAGTTAGGATCAATTTGCACCAAAATTTTTGGCTTGATTTTTCTTTTTCCTAAAAGCAAATTATGCCTTTGCAGGCGTTCTCAGACCTCTGTCCAACAGATCAGTGTTGTGTCAGTTGTAGGCACACAAAGTGGGCACAACACGACCGTAGTGGTAGCACTGGTGCCACACAGATGATCAGGTGCCTCTCCACCCAAAGTGTTTCTTGTTTGTGTGAAAGAATTGTAGAAACTCTACTAACTTGTAAGAATGGGGTACTAAAGACTTGGAACAGAAATGGGATGTTAGAGCATTCTCCAGTGTTTGTGACAGTGCTGGGATGATACTGGTGGCTAGAAGTTCCCACTGGCTAGACTGAAACATAGTGCACATTTTTGGTAATAATTAGCAGAGAAATGCCTGTAACTACAGCCGGCAGCCAAGAACCACGCAGCTGCTTACACTCCCTCCTCCCCCCTCTTCCCCCCCGACCCGGAGGAATGGGGAGAACAAATAAAGTCAAATATGTAGGTTGAGATAAGAACAGTTTAATAAGAATAAAGAGTAGAATGAGCTAAAATCAGTGATGCCCAATCCAACTGTTCACCACCCGCGGAGCGGCACAGCCCCGAACCTCCCCCGGATCGACCCTGATAGACTGGGCACGACGTGCCATGGGGGGGAATATCCCTTTGGCTGGTTCAGCTCACCTGGCCCAGCTATGCTCCCTCCCAGTTTTTCTTGTGTACCTTCTCACTGGCAGAGCAGGAGACACAAGAAAGAAAATGTCCTTGATTTAGGATAAATACATCTTAGCAGAAACCAAAACGTCAGTGTGCTATCAACAGTGTTATCACTCTGAATCCAAACACTGCACTACACTAGCTACTGAGAAAATGAACTCCATCCTGGCTAAAACCAGGACAATTGCACATAATTTGGGAGCAAGTAGATTTTCCTCCTATATGGTAATCTCTTAAAATAAAGGAATAATTGGATGTATAAAAGCAGTAAAAATGTAAAACAGATTTATGAGATCCACCCCTTGTTTTAATAAGTTAAATTGCATTCAAAGTAACAAAAATGCTGAGTTTGACTAATCTCTTATGGCACAATATCAGTTACATGTGAAAGTTCTCTGTGTGTGAAATGAGAGCCAAGGAATGCTATATTACTTTATCAGAATGGATAACTTACAAAGAATGAAGGATTGACCTCCTGGTTTTCTGTCCTGATATCTGTGTGTATGGCCCTGTGTTCCTTAATCGTTGTGCAAACCCCTGTTTTGCAGATGAAAATCTTAATTTTCAGTCATCTATGGGGTGTGTGTCCACAAGAGAATCTGAATACATTAGAGATAGGATGACTAACATTTCTCCATTGTCCCACTGCCAGACGTGTTTGTCACCTGTATTTGCAGTTAAGAGGTCTGTGCACTGCTTTCCTGCCACAGCTGCACTTAGCTCTGTGTTCTAGGCAGGCTCAGGCTGCTTGCAGCCTCCTTTCAGGCTCCTCACAGTCACAGGCATGTTGCCAAAACGAAGCCCTTACTATGCAGGCAAGAGGTGGGAGGTGTTATTTTTTCACAGGTTATGTCACCCAAATCACAGTGGAATGACTTAAGATGATAGAAGTAGGACATTTCCTTTGCTGAAGTGCAGAGCATCTCTTCAGACAGAAGAGACAGAGGCATTTCTAAAGAAGCAGCTTAGGGAAATGTTCTCTTTGGGAGAGCACTGCAATGTGAAGAGCTGACCCTGGTGTGTTAGCATCCCTTTGCAGACATGCTGCTCCCTGCTCTGCAGCTCATCTGTTCCCATGGGAGGAGCTGGTTTTATATGCTCAGCTCAGAAACCATGTGTGCACAAGTGGAAATGATCTAGTGTGTAGTTGCACCACTAAAAAATAAGTGTCCAAAATAGATTCATGGCATATTATTTTTTGACCTTATTATCCTTTGTTTTCTGTTTCTAAAAGCTCACAAGAGCTTGTTTTCATTTATTTTCTATTATCAAGTTGTTTAATTCTACTATACAGTAAGAGACTTACATCAGTTGTACAACCATCTGACAGGAGCAGCTAGAGATTAGAACTTTTTGCATTTAGAGAAAGCTGATGCAATTAAAAATAGGATACTTTTCACTCTTGGATCTTTCTTCACCTTTTTAAGCATAAAGAATCACCTTCAAAATGATTCCCTTTTTCCCATACATGAGATTTGAAATTAGGAAAAGCTTTTTTAAAAAAAATCTGGGGGATTCAGACTCTCTTTTCTTCCTGTCCCCTATAACTTTTCTTCAATTGAACATGAATTTGAAGATGCCACCGAGATGTGACTGGGGCATCTTCAACTGTGGACTGTTTTCACTAGTTTCCTATCAAAGGAGTTCAGTGAGATCCTTGGAGTTCTGTTGTTTGTTTATATGTATGTTCTTAGAAGGTGCTCTCACAGCCAGGCACATTGTGGAATAATTTGGTGTTACCCCAATGCAGGATGTGTGCTGCAGTGAGCATCCTCAAACCACACCTGGCTGCCCTGGGCCTGAGCAAAAGGGCAGCGTGTGGCTGTGGGGCTGTGACTGGCCCCATGCCTCTCAGACTGGGAATGGCAGGAAGAGACTGGGGGATTCTGAGAGGGGACTGGAGTGTGTGTGAGCTGAGGAGAATAGCAGAGAGGAATGCACACTGCCCTGTCTCTGGGCATCTGTGTTCCAGGCAGGCAGAGGACGTGTTGGGCTGACATGCAAGTCTGGCTGGACTGTTGAGAGTTGAGTAAATGGTGATGTAGGTACAGGGAAGCAGAATAATGGTGTTGCTGCACTCTGGTCTGTGTGGGGTCAGTGATACGTGCCCAGAGGCTCTCAAGTTATCTGTTGACTCTAAGAGGAACATACATACATAGAGGGGTTTTCTGCTGTAAGTTTTTGGGGAGTACCACCCTGCACTGCAGAGTTCTTCTGGTGGCCCTTGCCAAGTCATTACACATTTTGGTCTTGCTCACTCCAAAGCTGTACAAGAATGCTCAACAGTCTTCCAGTGGTGTGTTCAGTCCTTTGCAGAGCACTGTGTGGCTCTGCCTTCCTGACTCAGGTCATTGATCGTACGGAGCAGGTTGCGTGCGTGATTGCCGTACAGAGTGTTCTCTCTTCACCATGTCTATTGAAAATACGAGTTTATGGATGGTTTTTGGGGTCTGTCTTTTAGGGAAGGGGGTGACCAAACTGTGTGCACATGTACAGTTTGTTCGTAGGTTATCTGACATCACAGTTTGTACTCTGCAGACACCGAAGTATTTTTGTGGTCATAGAAGATTAACACTCAAACAGTATTCACATTTCTACATTTAACATTAGTGTGTGATGTAGGGACAAGACTATTTTAAGGCAAACAAAGAAAAAATGGAATAGTTCCCATGTTTCTCCTCTGTTCACACTTGTCTTGAAGCCTCTACTTTGTAGAGTAGAACAGGTTTTTTCAGCTTTCTGTCATTTTATGCCTTTCTGAACAATCTGACCCATGCTAGTTCTGTGCATTTGCATCAACAAAAATATCCCATGGTCTTCTGCCCTCCTGTCTGCACACTCTGAACTTCTGGATCAACACACTGTGCAGTCATGTGCTTTCAGCTACACTCCAGGCCCTGTCGAGAAAGATTTTTATCCTGTATAGTTAAATGTTGCTACTCTGAGGTGAAAGTGTTGGAAAAAGAGAGTTCACAGCAGCTGCACCTGCAGCTTTGGAAATAGAGACCACAGTGTTGCTGCTTTCAGTAAGCATCTGTGTGTTTGTCTTCCACGAGAAACTATTCCTAGCTGAGTTTAGCAGGTAGGTGAGAGTTTTTCAGTAGTCTCAACTGTCATTTCAAGTTTGTTTTGAGTACGTAGGTAGTCAAAATGCAGGTTCTGTTGTGCCTTTTTAACGGAGGCTGTGGATGTGTTGAATGAACTTTTGCCTATCCTTTCTTTGATGTCAACACTGTTAAAATATTTGAACTGGTAACATTAGAAAACAGCATTGAGTTACGATTTGTATTAGAAACTTCTAGTAATTATGTTTGTATTGGGACATAATGCCATTAGTCCAACTCTTGCTTTCTTGTCTGCTGGTACAGGAGATCCATCGTCGGTTTGAAAATGCTCCTGACACGGCCAAGACCAAGGCTCTGCAGACTGTTATTGAGATGAAGGTAAGTGATGTTGTAGAGGCATCAGGAGAGTTTGTTCTCTAGAAAATGGTGACTCTACCAAATACCATACCCTTCTGTCAGTCTTCTAATTTGAAATAATGATATTTATTGTATGGTAATTGACTATATATGTATAATTTTATTTGTTAATATTGATCAGCGAAGCGAGGGAGCTGCTTCCCGGCGCGGTAGAAACCTGCCTGCTGTATGCCTGCAGCAGCATTCTGTCACTTAGCCAGGCTGACTGCATTTCTTGCAGTGAACCAAAAGTCCATTCTCTCAGAAGGATGGCGATGACAGATTAGTATGAAAGATTTATAGGTTTTTATGGTGATGTTCTTTTCTTTTTGTGTATTAACATTTGAAGTATTGCTGTGCGTTCTGTGTGTTAGCAGTTAGCAAACTCAACACCCCTCAAAGAATGGATCACATAGCTAGAAAGATGTCTGTGTGTCATGAACTGAGCTTTTCTAGATTGAATTCTTAAAGCATTAACTTAAGTACCTAATGGACCGATGCAGTTCGCCAGGAGTTCAGGAGCCACAGTTGAGTGTGTGGGTTACACAGCTTTATGCAATTATATTTCACATTGTTTGGCCCAGAAAGTACATCAGACAGGGTCTGGGCAAGTGAAATTAAAATTTGGAAACTGTCTTACTGTCTTTGCAAGCTCTTCTTTTGCATTTTGTATCCCTGCTTTTTGTTTTAATTTTCTTCCTTTTTCCCCTTCCAATTTTTTCCATTCTATGTCAGTGTTTTCCATATTCATATCCCATCTTCCTATTCTGATGCCTTTTGTTTGCTGTCGTTCTTTTATTAGTCATCTTTGTGGTCCAGAGTAATGAAAACTAATTGACCATCTGTTAGCAATAAGCATCATTATCATCAGAAGTGATACACACTGGTGTTTCTGGGAAATGCTGTGAGTGCTGAAACTAAATCCTGTTGTAAATTTCAACATACCACTTCACCTTACTGCATCTCTAATTTTTTATTTCAAAAATCTGCTTTTCTGATTTTAACTTAAGCATCAAAAATTAAGCAGGAGATCAACTGCATCTTCATAATGGTCCTTTATTACCTCATGAATGAAAACCTATTTGTGAAGATGTTTCATGCTTGTTGTTCAGCTCTGCTTTGCTTATCACACAAAGAAAAAATTGCAAAAGTTTAGTTTATGAAAGGCTATTTCAGGAAAGACTAATTATTTTGGGGGAATGAAATTTAAAAACAAATAAGCTGCCAAGATTACAGTTCATAAAGGCATATCCATGTTCACCAGGTGCATGAAGCTCTGGGTGTCGTATGAATCTGTTATTGCTGTTCCCAACAAGTAAGACTTCGAACAAAATGGCAAACCAAGCAGTCTGAATACCTCTGCTCATCCTGTGATAATGATGGATTGACCTTGTCATTTTCCTGGATGGGTATTTGTTAACCATGGGGATATTTTATATGTTGTATATGAGAGTCAGGATACTTGACAGATCCTCGACTGCTTTGTCCAATCAAAACTAGGTTGTTGCATCTTTTCCTTGCTTATTGTGCTTTTTTGTTCTCCATTTGTGACCCCACTTAAATTACTAGTGGCACAAACCCAATTTTTTTGCCATTCTTGCAGTCACATTTTGCTGTCTGTTCAATTAGGATTAAAATTTCTCTGGTTTATGCTGGCTGTGCATTGCCAGGCAACTTTTCTTCATGTTCCTTCATTTATGCACCATAAACTGTGTCCCTGCTCCAAGCTCTTTCAGTACTAGACTCTTGCTTTGCTTGAAAGTTGAAAGAAACCTTTCAAAATGAGTATTTGAGTACTCCAATGTAAAGAGTTGTAGGCTGATTTCTGTAGGAAATTGAGGAGGGAAGTTCAGGGGCAGGTACATGCCCAAGAAATTCTTTTTTGTTTCACTCCCGTGGTATGTTAGCAAATCATCTAACTGTGTATCTCTATCTGTCTGTTCTAATTGTTTTTAGGATTCCAAAATTTCTTCCATGGAACGTGGCCTGCGGGACTTGGAAGAGGAGATTCAGATGCTGAAGTCAAATGGAGCTCTGAGCACAGAGGAACGTGAGGAGGAAATGAAGCAGATGGAAGTGTACCGGAGTCATTCCAAATTCATGAAAAATAAGGTACTGAGAAAACAAGTGGCAATAGTAAGTTAAACTGAGCTCAGGGAACAGATGAGAGAAATATTTGTACTCGGTTTAGGAGTTGTGGTTTGGATTCCCATCCAAGTGCTAGGGAACAGAATTTATTTGTACTCTGACGTGAAGCCACTGAAATGTCTTACAAATATTTAGGAGAATTCTGAATTATTATTTGAAAACAATATAATGCTGTTTCATTAAGATCAGCAGCTCAAATTCTGCTTTTATTGTCATGTCTGATTTCCTTTCATTTCAGAAAGATTCTGTTTACCTTTAAACCATTGCTAATGCATTGCAGTTTTAAGTTTTAGTTGGTCTAGAGTCTTTTCAAATGTAGTCTGCTGAAATAAGAGTATTTTTTTTGCAACTGTTGCTCTGTAACTAGTAGGTTGTTTTCTTATATAAAGGCTGAAAAGGGCATGAGCTGTCACTGTGATGGTTTTCCATTACACTCTTCTTCCAGTTGTGGAGTCAAATTGAGCATAGACTCTACAGGAGTGATGGTGCAGACATTGATTTACTGTGCTGGGAATCCAGGGCAAATACAGTGATCCTGGGGTATAAATGTGGCCACTGACTGCTGCCTTGTCAATAGCCAAAAGGCAATTTATTCTCTAAGTCTTTTGGTGGGCCATAACATTTTCTAATGAAGATTTAGGCCCCTTTGTCCAGTAAATTTAAGTGTATTGTGAGCACTCCTGCTTTTCTTAATTAGCTTTCGTGTACTCCCTCAAGCAGTATGCAAATCCCCAGAAGAGAGTTTGAAAATTGCTCTTCTGTGCCCTGAACGAGTGTAGCTACTGCGTTTGTCCTGCTTGAAATTATCTGTAAAACAGAGACTCCTGGATGAACACTTCTTGGTGAAGTGTTCCTTGCCCTGAAATAGAATGGTGTACTAAGCATGTGTTTCTTCTAATTGCCTCACACTCAAGCACATCTGTTCTTACTTTTGCCCTTTGTCCCACTGGTTTGCTTCTAGGAACTGCAGGATACCCCTTCAAATTAGGAAGGAGAGACAATTAAAACACCTCTTCCATCTTTTCTTCTTTCTTCTTCCCTTGTTAGCAACTCTTCAATTTCCCCTTCTGCTCTCCCTCTGTGGATGTACAGATCTGTTCAACTACTTAATTTCTGGATCTCTCCTGTCTGCTCTGTCTGCTCATTTATTTCCCTGCAGAAAATGTGCTCCTTTTTTGTAACTACTCATGACTCATAGCCATCCCCAGTCTTGGTATCTTGCTGTCCTACCTTGTTTTGCAATTTGCCCATCATTTATTTTTTCAGTGTTGTATTGCAGAGTGATTCGTGACTGTATCTTGGCAATTAACTTTATTCCTCTTGAACTGAAACATGTCCTTTTCCGTGTCCTAGTTTCCTCATGAACTCTAGTTTCAAAACTGTTGGGCCATATATAAACATAACTATATATATTTTCTTTCATAATCCAACTCTTGTCTGGCAGCCTGTATGAAATGACATAGACATTCAAGTCTGGAGAAGACTTAACGAAGAATGGAAGAAATGAGTGACCAGTGTTGTTTCTTCTGTTCAGTTCTTTGTCGCTTTTAGTTCCTTGCACTGAAACAGGCTAACTAGGAGCTGACAAATAACAGATATTTAAAAGAATAACAATGTCGTGACAGGTAGAGCAACTGAAGGAAGAGCTAAGTGCCAAAGAGGCTCAAGGGGAGGACCTGAAAAAGAGAGTGGCTGGTCTCCAGACCGAGGTCTCTGCAGTAAGATCTCTCTTTTGTATGCAGTGGCCACTCACTGGGGCTTGCTAGCTCTCTGGCTTTTGGGGTAGTTTCTCTTCTCTTACCCTCTTTGCCACTTGATATGACCAGTAGAACTAACAGCCTGCTCAGCCTTGTAGCTTCCTTTCTGTTCACATGGTGTTGGTGTTCATAAATAACATCACTCTTCAGCTGAACATCTGTATGTGTTTCATTGCTGGTTTTTAATGGCATGAACTGTTTGAGCAGTGACTTTCACTCCTCTATTGAAGCAGATCTTCAGAAGGATTCAGCACCCCTTTTGGGGCCAGACTTCCAGAGATTTGCTTTCCCTAGTGGAACAAAGCTAATTTGAACACTTGTGTTGAAGCCTCTTAACGTTGTTTCACCAGACATAACAAAAGCTGGATGCTGAATGCTTTGCAAACTGACTGCTTTCAGCAGCTTGAATTTGAGCTGTTCTTCTCTGTGAAATGAGTGCATTTCACTGAAAAGAGTGGCCACAGTGTCTCACCCAGAAGAGAGGGGTGAGTGCTTGGTGCTGTTTGAACTTCCCTTGCAACACAGTCTGGTTTGCTCTGCGTTCTTACTAAAGAGCTTTAGCACAGTCAGTGTGGGCTTACAGCTCTGAAATGTTGATTTCTGGAGACAATCATCTTAGGGTGCAGCTTGGGAAATGCAGCAAACATCTCTTTTGAGATGACCTCAGAAAGAATTACCTTTTCAAGGAAAGTGCAAAGTGGTTTGAGAAGGTTTTGCTCTAATTCAGGCTGGCTGCTGCTTGGAAAGGTTTGTGTCAGCTGAAAATTTTAGGAGTCTTTTTTGTCTAGATACTCTGGCAAACATAACCAGCAGTAACTAGTTCATCCCTTCGCAGCTGCTCTGCTGTGCCTAGCAGAACTGTGCCACTGGTGGGACTGGCCAGTGGCTGACAGCAGAAATTGTGCTGCTCACATCAGTACCTCTGTATGGAGTGTGAACAGGTGGGGAAATCATTCTGTGGCACATTTGCTTTCAGTAAAAATATGAAAAGACTGACCTAGTATATTTGAATTAAGTGAACAATAAGCTATTGAATAGTTCTATAAATTCTTCTCATACACCTGTCCATTATTCCATATTAGAAGTTAATTTGTCTGAGGTTGTTTGAGGTATATGTCCTCCTTCTTCCTCATCTTCTCATGTGCACTGTTTCACCCTGCAGCTCAGGAGTCCTGTATGATGTATTTCGATGCTATTTTAATACTCTTTGGTAAAAAGCTCTCTTTCTATAACTGCCCATTATTGAAGCAGTGTTGTCAAGACAAAACTGCATTTACCCGAGCTGTTTCTCCCAGTTATTTCTGCTAGTATGTGCACTAATTCCAATTAAAAAATTTTAAAAATATTTATAAATCATATCATTACTTTGTTCTTGGCACATTCCCAAGCGTGGAGGTTGACCTGGGCAATTTTGTTAGTCTGTGATGTCCTTCAATTTCTGTTGCACAAAATTCTTTTGGGATTAAGGGATTTTATTTAATGTTGCAAACAAAATTGTTCAAGTTAAACAAGGGAAAACCATTTAGTCTTTAGAAATACGTTCCACCTCTGCTATGTAATATGTAGCAGTGAAATGTTGCTATTCTGTGAGATCAGTAGGAAGCAAACCAGAAAGTTGGTTATAAACTTGGATATGTCTACATTTAGACTTCCCTGTCCTCTTTAATTTTTTTTTTTTTCTTTCAGACTTGCATGAAAATTGTCCTGGGTGCTAATTGCACTTAGAATGAGATTTCAGTGCTTTATTTTAGCATTTCTTACTGTTTGTGTTTTTAACTAGGAATCCAGCCTACGTTTGTTAAAATAAATCTGTACTGATTCAGTTCCCTAAATTAAATCTAGGAAATTGCTCTCGACAAAATGCACACACAGTTTTCATGTTGTTCTGATGTATATTTGCATCTGCTTTAAGAAGCTTCCATAAATGAAAAGTTATTTATTAGAAGATTGAAATGCTTAATGTCTTTTAAATAGTGGGGGAATTAGTGTGTCTTTACATCCTCTGTAAACAAGAGATGGAGAGAAACTTGCTGATGGGACATTTCAGTGCAAACCTCCTGCTTCTGAGAGAGGTACCTCCCCTTTTCTGACATTACAGGGCAAGGCTACTTTCACTTTACAGTTCTTCTTCATCTTCATTAAAACCTAATCACTACTAACGATCTGGTTTTCCTCAGTCCCTTGCAAGAGGAATAAGAGCAGACTGCCTCTGTTCAAAAGAAGCTCTCTTGCAAAATTGATGCTGTTGCTTCCCCCTCTATTTCCTTGTAACCTTAGCTGATGACCCAAATGTTTGCTGGGCTTCAAGATAACTGAAGGTTTCACAATTCTATGGGATGAGTTGAGAGTGTCATACAGTTTGTTGGTATGTGTATTTACAGGCATTTTTGTGAGGGAGGTATAAATTGTTTTTTCCTTTGCCCATCTTTCCTTTCTTTTCCAGATTGGGCAGGTGAAACAGGAGCTGTCACGCAAAGACACCGAGTTGTTGGCCTTGCAGACAAAGCTGGAGACCCTCACAAACCAGTTCTCTGACAGCAAGCAGCATATCGAGGTTCTGAAAGAGTCCCTTACAGCTAAGGAGCAAAGGGCTGCCATCCTGCAGACAGAGGTGAGGTGGGCAGTGCTGTAGTTACTGTCCTTATGAAAAGGCATAAAAAGCATTCTGCAATCCCAGAGCCATTCAGTGCTGCTTGGTCTGAATACTTTGTGTCTTTGGTTGTATGTTTGACTCTCTAGGCCTGGCATTGATCCTAAAGACAAATATGTGTGCCTATATATGCTCAGCTGAATTGGAAGGTGCAATGTTTGAGCTGGGCTGTTTATTTCAATGACCTTGGAGCTGCAAGAGAACAGGAGAAGGAAGAGTGTTCCTGTAGTCTACACCTTGCTGAGGCTTCACTGCTCCTGTCAGCATGCACAGGAACTCGTGTGTGAGCCTGTGCTTACACCTGCAGTTTGGGCTTTCATGTTTTATCATCCATAGTCCAAGATAAAGGAAAAATATTTTCCAAACCGAGTTTCACTAACAAGTGCTTAATAAACCCCCATACGTAAGCCCCAAGTGCATATGTGCATATCAAACAGTTAAGAAATATAGCATAAATGGATTCCTTCTGGACATAGAAGAGGAATGAGCTGCTGTGTGTGGACAGTATTTGGGAGCTGTAGTGAGAGTGGGAGTCCAAGAGATGGCAGTCAGCATCAAAGAATGTGAGTGGGGTTGCAGCAGAGGCAGGAGGAAGCCAAATGAGCTGGCAAAGAGGCTTGCAGGGGGTAACACTGGTGGAAAGGGTCCATATTACAAGAGCATGAGAGAATTGAACTGGTTACCTTCGTGTAGGTTTGCTTTAGCCAAAATCATCTGTGGGTGCACGTGGCCTCGTGGGCATGCAGAAATCAAGTCACATAGGAAATCTCTTTTGATGTTCTAACATGGCTTTTCTGATCATTCTCAGGTTTATGTCGAAGTTGGAGTTGCATTAGTGGGTATAACTGTGAAAATGTGCTGGTTTACAGTCATAAACCTCCTGTTGCATTTGTTCATACCTTTTTGCTAGTCCAGGAATGAACCCGAGTTCATACATGGTTATTTAATAAATATTGGCATTTCAAACTGTCACTGAAAGTAAGTATCAGGTAATAAAGGTTTTCAGAGGTAAACTGCAGGTTTTGATCCTTCACAGGGATTGAAAAGAACATAGAGATCACTCTGTAGGATTGTGACAAACTCATAAGGCTAGAAACACATTTCTGACTTTTAAATATTAAATAGCAGCACTTTTCTGCCCATGAGAGATGAATTTCTTGAACAAATCTACTTTATTAACAAGCTAAAAGACTTCAGCAGAGGATCATAATTTCGGCTGTTACGGTAGATAAACATACCAATTAAAATGTACAGAATTGAAACAGGATATTTAAAAACAAAAAGACTTGGTTATATACCATTGATACATATATATACTCCTGACAGTTTTTCAGAACATTTTGATTTTATTTTAGCTGAAATGAAAGTACTTTTTTATATTTTATTCTACTCTCTGACTTGTAATATTGCCAAATAATTGTTGAGAACATTTGTTCTTCACTGGGTGCTTTCAGGTGAGGTTCTCATACAGCACCACAATACAAAACCAAATTGGCTTCTTCCTCTGAAATGCCTAAGCTGTTTTTTACTGATAAAAAGTGGCTGAAAGGCCACCAAAGGGGTGGGAGGGAAGAGAGAGATTTCCTACTCACTGCTTTTAGGTTATTCACAGCATTTGCTTCCAGCTATTGTAAGTAAAGCATAACACCTGGAGGAACAGTGACAGATGATTTTCTGTCTGTCTGTCAGTCAGGAGTTGCTGTGGAGCTGAAATATTAACAGGCTGTATTAGGATGATGTTTTTGTGATAGATGTAATAGACTGAGTAGTCTAGCATGTTCCCCACAGTCAGATGTAGCAGTCTGGTATGGATGTGCTGTTGATTATTCCATTGTATCAGAGCAGATATCTAGAATGATTATTTATGTTCAGAGAATTTTTATGTAGTTCCAAGAAGATATTTATGCTTTTTAAAAGATAGTGTTATCTGTTCCACCCTTGCTGGTTCTTGAGAGAAAGCTGAACAATTAAATCATCTCACAGTTACCTTTTTTCTGTCTTCACAAGTGACCTCCTCAAGTATAAGACTGAAACATGTTGAAAATACAGTCTTGAGATGTTTGTTACTGCATCCTGTGATGATTTGGGTGTTTTAAAGGAGAAGATATCTTGCCATACAAGACTTTTTGCTGGGAACAGAGTAGGAATTGAGACCCTGCTAGGCCTCACTTGTTGACAGCACTGGTCAGTGTTAAAACATACCTAGCTTCTCCCAAGACACCTAGAGACAGATGTGAGGAGGGAGAGAGGAGCAGCTTCTGACAGATATTGGCAGTCATCTTCACAGGGGATTGGTGTGTTAAAGTTATATTGAAATAAACATTTTAAAAGGAAAGAGAATGCCTTCATAAGGCTTTGCATTTTAGTCTTCTAAAGAAACCTGCTCATAGGTGGGAAAAAATGTTTGTATAATATCTCAAAAATGGGTTTGCCACCTGCCACATGAGAACTGAACAACACTGAGCTGTTTGTGGGGTGTTTGCTTCGAGGGCTATTGGGTGGAGAGGATATTGTGGTTAACCTTGCAATTTGTGAAGGAACCTGTAAAAATAGCTGTAAAATTGTACAATCACTTTGTAAACAAAACACAGAAGAAATCCATATTTGTTTTGGAATGAAGGCTTAGCCATCTAAAACTTATGTCTTACCCAGGGAGCCCTTTAGTTTAGTTTGGAATGAAGGCTTAGCCATCTAAAACGTATGTTTTACCCAGGGAGCCCTTTAGTTTAGCTCAGTGCCAGGAGGTGTGTGGCTTCAGTGGGAGATCACGTTAACCAGCAAGAACTTTGCCCTGTATTTGTGTGTACAAGCCAAGCTGGCATGGTTCTGCCATTGGTCTGTTCCTGGGGAAAAGTCAGTTTAATATTCGGTAGAAAAGTCAATCTAGTCTTCTGGAAGTTTTTATTTGCTCTGAATATCTCAGTTAATCAGGAGTTTTTCTGAGGATCTTCCCTTACTGGGGTTATACTGGCATCTTGGAACTCTAGCAGACTCCCAAGTCAGAGACAGTCAAGAAGTAGATTCCCTTTAGTGAGGAATGTGCACATGGGAGTTTGGTGCCTCTAACAAGGCTTATTAACACCAGCTACATGAAGATCTATGCTGACACCTGCAAACCTTAAGGTCAGCTCACAGAACTGAGTTTGCTGTGTTTAGGTATTTAATATCTTGTGCTTGAGGTGGTGGAACTGATTTCTGACCTGGGCAGGCCCTGGAAGCAATACATCTGTCCTGCAGTGAGTTTGTAACCCTAGCAAGAGCCAAACAGGCTCTGCACAAAGCCAGATGTGTGCTCTGCCTCTTGGCAGGGATGGAACCTGGCTGAGTTGGCCAGAAAAGTGGCATCTGTATGTTCATGAAGAGCTCACTGTCTTCTACAGACTGTACTGGATATTGCTGCAATTTGTATAAGAAAGTGAATAGTCAACTCTAACATAATTAATAAGATAGATCAATTTCAAAAATAGAGAATCAAGTCTTGTGAGTGACCACTGCATTCAAAATTGGTCAATAAACATAGCTTCAAAGTCTTACTTACAGACTCTGCTAGCACAAAAAAGGCTTAAATCCTTTTTGTGTTTATATGCTGTGTTTGCAAGATAGTAATGCAATGCCACATAACTGATCCTTTAAAAAATGGACTCGTTTCAGGTACTTGGAGACTTCAGACAACAATAGCTACAGTAGGAGAAAAGCAACTCTCACCTCACATATCAAATACAGTTTCATTCATGTCCTTGTGCATTTCTCAGTTATCTTTGAATTCTGAATGGAATCCATCTGTGCTTTTTGCAGCCTTTGCTGTAGTCACACCAATGGAGAACTGAAATGACAGAGAAACTGGGGCTGGGATGTGGCCCAGGGAGATTGTACCTTCTGATGGCACTGCATGGAGTATGGTTTGGGTCACTGAGCTGAGCTGATAGTTTAGCCATGGTTTCAACAGGTGACAGGGAGATGAGAAGAATCACTTGGGGAAAAAATGGAGCACATTGTTTTTTCTAGGTGTCACTGGCATCTTCTGAAACCCACATGGGAATCACCAGTGTTGCAGTACCCTGGGTGCTGCTGTTCCGTGGAGACGATGGTTAAATTCAGAACAAAACCCACGTGTGCAACCTAAGTCCTATTGACTCAAGCTCCTTACTCAATTCTGAAAATTGGAGTGATTTCCCTATACTTTGGGAATATTCTGAAAGTTAGGACTGTAATAGTTGCAGAGTCCAAGATTCTTAAAAGGGCTAAAGATTAAATTTATATTAAATATTATGACATTTATTGTGTTTCTTCTGGTAGGCATTGGAGCTGCTAATGTAGTTTTTCTCAGAGATTTGGAGTTCTACATGTTTAATGCATGGCTAGACATATTAAGGACAGAGTCACAGAGTGTTACTTACTGCTACTGGGAAGTTCTGTGAAGACAAATCAGTGGTTCCCAACACAGTTTTCCTATATCATTCTTACAGGGAAGAAATTTAAGTCTTGTGTATGATACCCAACTGGAGAGAGGTGCCTGACTCCTGTACCGAGGGAGTCTGGTGTGTGGAAGGTGCCAACCACTGTGCTTCTTTTCCTCAGGCTGCATGGGCAGTTGGGTGGTCCAAGCCCATGGTGGCATGGGGGGCTGGCAGCTGCCGGAGCTGCGCGCCAAGGTTGTGTTTGGCACGCGTGGTTAAGGACGTGGCAGTCTCTGACTGTAAAGCAGTTCGGTTAACCCAGGGTTAAGACAACACCATGCAAAGCTCAGGAGTCAGGAGAAGCACCTCAGGCTGTCTGCCTAGTTGTTTCTGCATACAGAGAAAATGCCAAGCTGATTCTGGTGAAGTTGGCATCACCTGACTCCCACAGACCTCAATTCTTGTCACAGTGGGAGGATGCTATACATAAACTGAGCTGACACGAATAAACAAGTGCAGTGTTCTGCCAGAAATAGTGCTAAGGTGGTGATGTGTGTCCTGCCAGCCTTTCAAATTACTCTTCAAAGTGTTTTCTATGGTTTCCTATGCAAGCACCTCACACCAATGAAACCAGGAATGCAATTTTCCCCACACCATAAGCTAATATAGTGTTCAAAGAGAATAATCAGTCAGAAAATGGAAAGCATTCTGTGGATAAATTTCTATTTACAGATGTTCTCTTTTCACTTAATACTCTGCTGTCATCATCTGGACTGTCTCAAACGTTTTGCAACACAACTTTTGAGAATATGTGGATTTTCTTGTGAGGGAGATTTTCAGCTTCCCTGCTGGAACTGATAGAAATAACTCTTAGCTATAGTATCAGAGAAGAACAGAGAAGAACATAGCTAACCAATCTATAAAACTCTCTTTTTAAGAAGAAGACAAAGCCTGACCCACCTGCTAAACTTTTCAGTCCAAGCACTAGCCATGCACAGAGCACATTTGGGTAGTGCCTGGTGCTCTCCTGTCCCTGCAGACTGTGCCCCTTGTGCTGGGGGCAGGTCAGGAGTGTGGTGTCAGTGAGTGCTGTGTGAGTGAGGAGGCTGCAGACACAGAGCTGGCAGGGGATTGCAGCACTGCTGGGGGATGCAGGGCAGTTCTTTTCCCTGCTGGCAAGTGCTCATCGCTCTGTGTAAGAGGAGTCAGACAAAACAGCAAAGGATTTTGTGGGTGTAACATACTGTAAATGCAGAGCCTTAGAGGCAGCTTTTCCATTAGCAAATTAAAATAAAATGGAATTAGAATAACACGTTAAAACTAAGTGTTGCTCAAAATAAGTCATAAGCATAATGACTTCCTAAATTCTTTCTCTAGCTACAGTTGTCCAAGTCATCTTTTCACTTCATGTTTCTGCTAGTCTGTGCTGTGGAGATGGATCAAGAAATTCATGGATCACCCTGTTTACTCTGTGTGACTGATGGCCTGTAATGGATTCAGCTAACAGGAAGCAAATCTGATACTGTCAAATAAGATTAGCAGCCAAGCTGACAGATTTGAGCTCTGTCTGAATGCTGAATGGATAGGGGTCAGTGGGTTTCTTTGGGGATCTTGAGCAGGTTGGTGGTGTTGGATTTCATATTCCACAATGGTCTTTGAGATTAGTCTGTGCTCTGTGGTGACCTTATTCTTCTCATTAAATCTATATTCAGATAGCTCTGGTTCCTTCTCCCATTTCCTTTGTCTTGTGAGCTGTGTTTCATTTGTGAAGAGAAATGCAGAACAAAAGCAAAAGCTTCTCAACATGAAGTTTTGAAGCTTGAGGATAGCACAGAACTCCCAGAGTGTGTTTCTATATTTACTGAGGCCGAGGGAGCACTAAGTGTGTTTATGTGTCCAAATTGCACTCTCAGTATCCTGTACTGTGTCATTTGTTCCATTTTATCTTTAATATAAAACTGCATCCTGCTAAAAACACGTTACATTTAAACTATTACATTGCTTTTTAAGCCAAAATATTCTTAGCCATGCTAAGGTAAGCTCTTGCCATGTTTTGATCTGCAGTGGCTGCAAAGACCTCTGGTTTCAATGCCCCCAGGCTCAGTGGCTGCTCTGATTAAAACACAGAACTGTGGCTGTTTGGTACTTTAAGTCAGTCTTTAAGTCTTTGAACATTAATAGTGTTTCAAATAAAGGGCTCAGTTTCTCTACATCTCAACAACACATTGTGGTGGCTTCTACTTTGAGGAAAAAAATTCCAGATTTGTGTGTTACACAATTCAAATAAAGGGCTCAGTTTCTCTACATCTCAGCAACACATTGTGGTGGCTTCTGCTTTGAGGAAAAAAATTCCAGACTTGTGTGTTATAAGACTTGAGTTCTGTCAGAAGTATGATTTGAGATTTTCCAAGAAAGGCATTAGTCTCATAGAGTTTGGGAATAAACCAAACTGACTTATGCTGTTAGTTAGATTATTTTTGCTGTTAAAGGGCTCAGTTTCTCTACATCTCAGCAACACATTGTGGTGGCTTCTGCTTTGAGGAAAAAAATTCCAGACTTGTGTGTTATAAGACTTGAGTTCTGTCAGAAGTATGATTTGAGATTTTCCAAGAAAGGCATTAGTCTCATAGAGTTTGGGAATAAACCAAACTGACTTATGCTGTTAGTTAGATTATTTTTGCTGTTTAGTCTCCTCCCACTTGTGATAACTGTTTTATCACAGACTTGTGTATGTTGACTTCTTGAAGTAAGGAGTGTTAGGTTTCTGAATATGTTGGTAATACTTACCTGGGGAAGAGTAGCTTAACTCTGTCCCTCAGTGCTAAACAAACCATTGCTGCATTTCCAAACCTCTAGGTGGACGCGCTACGATTACGCCTGGAGGAGAAGGAGACTATGCTGAATAAGAAGACGAAGCAGATTCAGGAGATGGCAGAGGAGAAAGGGACTCAAGCAGGAGAGATCCATGACCTCAAGGACATGTTAGAGGTGAAGGAACGCAAAGTGAATGTTCTTCAGAAGAAGGTAAGACTGTAGGTGTCCGAGTCAGGGACACATCTGTGGTGCATCTCGATTTCTAAGTCTGTCAAAAAGTCTGAACTAGAGTTTACAATTCGGAGAGCAGTGATTGAGTCTGACATGAAATGGGAATGTGGTGAATGATGAATTTCAGTTTGGAAGCTTGACCAAAAAAATAGAATTCAGAGCAGAGATTGTTGCCTTTCAGGGGCTGCATGTGCTGCCTCTGTTTCCATTTCACTGTTAGCAGTGACTGAAGTATTGGTATGAGGGCACTTCATCTGAACAGTCAGTCCTTTCACACCTGCAGCTTCACCAAAGCCACACTGATGTGAACACAGGGCATTGACTGTGACTTCAGTATGGGACTAAAGGAATGAGGGGCTGAATCAGCAGAAGCAACTAGGATGATTTCTCTGTAACTTACTGAGAAAAGTTCAGGAAGAACTTTGTATAACTTTTGTTAGAAATGCTGTTTTATCATACTTCATATTTCTTGGGAACTGCTGGAATAGGATAATCAGGGTTTGGACTATCTTTCATATCTTTCTGGATAAGAAAATGTAGACCTTAGCAGTGAAACGGGGGAGGTCTGGGCAAGAAAAAGTAGACCCTGTGAGAGAAATGAGAGAGGTTTCCCAAAGGGCTCCAGTCCTAGGGCAGTGAACGTCATTATGGATGATCGTTGGCAAATTGCACACAATACATCCCAATTTTCTGCTACATATGGTGAAAAGAGAGAAATGCATGAATTGCAATATATTCTAATTTAAAGACTATTTTTTGCACTGTATCTTTCGAGGAGCTGCTCTTGGAGCTTGCATTCCATCTATTAGGCTGTGAATGTGGGGGGCTTTTTGTTGTGTTTTTTCCCTAGAACTTTAAACAATAATCTGGAATTCTTGTGATATTAGTAGTTCAGAATATTGATTAATTTCTGGGGCCTGGCCAATGCCTTTTCTTCTGGTATATAGCCATGAATCATGAGGGTTTAGTTGGTGTTCAGTTCTGTTATAGCAAACGTCATGTGGGAATGGAAGTTGGGGCGTGGACTTCAGCCATAAGTAAGTCATTAATAATTTTAGAACAGAGCCCTAATTCCCAGTCTTCATGGTCTCATTCTTTTGACTGTTCATCTTTTCGGAAAAGCTTCCAGATTTGTAGTTTTTGTGCTGTGCTTTCTTTTTGTTTCCTGAATTGGCCGTGCATACTCCCAGCGTTGGCTGAGGTCCCAGTCTGCCCTTTGCGTAATGTTCAACGTCAGGGAGGTTGTTTCACTTCTATTTACTCTTACACTGAGGTTTCACACATTTTCTTACTTGCTCTGCTTGACTCTTAATGATCTTTCATTAGATCATTTATAGACAGTTTTTACCAATTTTTAAATCCTTGGGTTTTTTTGAGACCACTGTAATGCATATTAAGACAGTTTCATCTTGTGTCTTCATGCACCTGGCCTGGTTTTTGAGGTTTGTTTTCTGCTGCTTTCAGGTAAAAGTCACTGGTCTCTTGAGACTGGAAGGCAAGGATCCAGGCTTTTAGGTGGAAAGGTTTTGAGGTCTTGTGCTCCTAGATGGCTCAACTGAGGATAACACTGCAATAATAACCTGCAATTCATGGTCTTTTGTAAACCTGTCTCTGAGCTTCTTAAACCAAAAATCCCCAACTCATGGAATCAAATCATCATAGAATGGTTTGGTTTGGAAGGGACCTTAAAGATCATCTAGTTCCCAACTCTCCTGCCATGAGCAGGGACACCTTCCACTAGGCCAGGTTGCTTAAAGCCCCATCCATCCTGGTGCTGAACACTTCCAGGAATGGGGCAGCCACAGTTCTCTGGTTTTTTCATATTAAAAAAGCATATAACCTATCGATAGAAAAGGGTATGTTTCCTGCTGCTAACTAGAATCACATGCAGAGATTTGGATTTTCTTTGGCCTCAGAGTTGCTGGAAGCATATTCCTTACCAAGAATGGTTAAACTGTGAGGGCTGTAAATTCAAAGATAATGTTTTTGTTTCTATAGCTAGCAAACCTAGAACATTTTTATGGAGAATCCAGCTGACAATTCTTATATCTGAAGTTGTGGTAGAGTATGGAATTTCTTTTTGGTTTTTGTATAGCCTGGGGTAAAGGAGCACAAATTCAGCCTTTAACATTCCAGGATTGATGTTTTCAACTAAATTATTTAATTGCTTCTCCAGACCTGGGATCAAAGGCTAGTTTGGGGTTTTCTCCAGGTAGGGCTTTGTATTGGCTTGTTCTCTTTAGCATTTTTCCACAGAAAAGCAGAGCTTGAGAAAATACCTAAGGAAAGACAAGTCTGATTTTTTCACACATATTATGACTAAGTTAGGAGAACTTGCATAAACTCTGTTTCAGGTGCTAGGGAAAATTATCAAGTCTCATTTTTATCTGTTATATATGCCTGTCCTTGTGTGACTGCAGAGAGAGCTGTTCCTGCCCTCCCCCTGGACCTTCAGACACCTGTAGCTCCTCTCATGTCAGTGTTTCTCTTAATGCTCATAAACCATGATTTGCTTTCTCTTTTTTTTTGCATTTCCAGAGTTCATCTTCTTATTAAAGTGCACAGCCTGTTTTCTGCCTTATCCAAGAGCTCTGTCTTTCTGACCTTACAGGGCAGTTGGGAATTTTATTGTCTTTAAAAAAATCCCTTTTATCTTTAAACATTTACCTTCATGCCACTTCATGTCTTCTTATTCGTCCCTCTGCCTATACACTGGTGTGTCCAGACACATCTGGTTTGAATCTGTATATTCTAGTTGAAGATCTGAAGGTGCAGTTTAAAGTAGCTTCAGAGGTCATAGATATCAGAGAGAGTAGTTTGTTGGTTTTTTTTTTTTTGCTGGCTTAGCTATCTGATAGTAAATGCTTGTTTGATGTTTATCAATATGATTTAAATGGTACTTGTATATTTTATTTGAATTGAGTGAAAGACTATCAAAGACATGTGGGCCAAAAAGAGCTTTCCTTGTACAGTGTCAAGTAATATTTGTCTGTGGCTATTGGGCAGCAGCTTTTAGGAGAAGGAACAGGTGATGACATGTGATGGAATTTAACCAAATTAACAGTTGGATTAGTAGATACTACTCAATCAGTTTTTACCAAGTGCTGTTCCCTCAGCAGGTACTCAGATTGGAGGATATTTGTGAAGTTGGATTGTAGTCAGCAAAATTTTGCACACTAATTTTTTTTTAATGCTAGATAAAAAGAAAATTTGTAGCTAAAGCTAAAATGATAAAGATGTTGAAAAGAAAATAATTTGTTACAAAATCGTTGACTTGAATAACTTACACATTTAGGAGACTTTTGCTTCTCTGGAATTTCAGAGAGATTGATGTACTGGTGCTGTAGCCACAGGCACACAGGGTGTTTGGACCTCAGGACTTCTCTCCTGTGACTGTTCTAGGTGTGTGATCACCTGATGACACTGACAAGGCATTGGTTGGTGTGGTGTCCAAAACTCTGCTGTCCTAGCTTGCTGCAGTTTGTGCTGTTGAAATATAAACTATTGGAAATGCAGCCTTTGATGTTGGGTCTCTGGTTGGATCCACTGCCACAGCCACTGCTGGTTTGTCTGTGAACCATTGTTTCTGTTGTGCTGATTCAAGATGACAAACTAGAAATACACCTTTTGGTCATTCAGCAGTCAAACTGGAGAAAGTAGTGAGAGTTTACAGGCTGTTTAGAGATTAGTTAAAAGACACGGAAGAAAATGATGAACAACAACAATCTGAAAAATTAACCTGAGAATTGGCATCATTGCTGATACTCAGTAGTCACCAAAATACCTCTTCCAGGTTGCTGAGGAAACCACATGCTTCACATTTGAAATTCTGGAATCTCTCCAGTTCTGAGCTCATACAGTAATGCTGCTTGGTACCACCTTTATTTTAGACAATAGAAGTGGGACAAATGCTAGGAATTTGGAGACTTTGGCTTTATGTCTGAAAATTTAATGCACATACTTAGGTTTGTAAAGCTTTAGGATTGTTTTTTCTCATTTAATTGAAAATAGCTCTTAGATAAAATCTCATTTTAAGTTGTTAGGCCTCTAGGCAAGGGGAGAGTTTCAGAAACTGAAATAAGGACCATGCTGGGCAAATTTGGAATCTGAACCTGAAAAACATGGAATGGTGCTGCATTGCTATGTTTCCCACATCTGTCTGTCTGTGCTGGTAGGCAAGGATGAGAAGGAATGGGGCAGGGGGGGAGTGGAAATAAATGCTTTGCAATTAAAGCATTTTAGAGAACTAGCATTTGGAACAAAAGGTAGCAGCACCCTGACAGAACAAAAAAAACCAGAAAGCAGTGAATCAATCACCCCTTGCTTTGGGGGGAGGTCATGTTTGGTCTTGAGAAGGGAGGGCTAACACTCCCTTCATTGTGCAATGCAGCTGCAGGCAAATAAAATGCAAGTTTTAGTGTCTGAATATAGCAGTGTTTTTGGCAGCTCCCCATGCTCTGTGTGATAATTGACCTGTGATAAAGGAAGAACACATGCATTTTTATCTTGCTGGCTGTGCTGACTTGTTTAGAGCTTCGGGAAGGTTCCACATGTTCCTGCACTTTGGGATAAGAAGCATTGCCTTTCTCACAGGAAAGAAATGTCTTCTGCTTTTCAAAAAGCTTAGACATCAGAATAAATATCTTATTTATCTTAAATAATTAAGTTAAATGCTGTGTGGCAGGAGAGAGGGGCTGCTAATGAAGTGTATAACTCAGTTAAAATCAGTAGTGATCGTCATTTACAACAGGAGCAGTGTTGGTTTAATATTCATACCTTGTGAAGTTCAGCATTTGTACTTTAAAGATTCTTTTCTTTCTGTTCCCTCATCTGTGAAGCAGATCTGTGTTACCTCTTCTGCTCCAATCCTGAAGAGACGACAGAGCTCAGAGAAGGAGCTCCATTTTCAGACATGTAATTCAATTTATGGTAGTTTCATCTTTCTAGATGTGACCTTGACCTTGCCTCCCAGGGGAATG